CACATCACTGCCTAATGCATTCCATTTACTAACTACTCTGACACTGAAAATGTTCTTTCTAATGTCTCGATCTGTGATTCATTTCGGTACTCAGTTTCCACCTGTGTGTGTGTACTTGCCTAGATATGCTTGCAGGGTCGAGCTAGGCTCCTGGCCCCGCCTTCTCAAGGTTCTTAGAACAAAGCAACGACTTATTTATCAGGCTTTTGTCACATTTACATGTACAATTTTGAATGGAATTAGCTTCAACGACTCTTACGACTAACCTATTCCACGTATTGACAACTCTAACACTGAAATGTTCTTTCTAACATTTCCGTGACTCATTTGCCTTTCTAGTTTCCACCTATGACCCGTCGTTCTGCTGTCCCTAGCTTTGAACAATGCTGCTTTGTCTATTTTATCAATTTCCTTTAGAATCTTGTACGTTTATCATGGCCACCCTCTCTCTCTCTCCATTCCTCCTGTGTGGTAAGGTCCAGGTCTCCAACCCGTTCTCGCACTTGCTTACAGTCAATATTGGCTTATTTAATAAGCGCATATGTGACATACTAATTGATTGTAAATATTTTAGTTTACCTTGAAAAGCTTCATAGAAAACACCGACCTTACCAAACCTTCTTAGTATGTTAAGATAAGCATCTTATTGCTTCTTAATTACAATTATTACTTAACCTATCAACGGTCTCAGTCTTTCCTTGTAACTCAATCCCTTCAGCTCAGGAATAAGCCTCGTTGCGTATCTTTGGATCTTTTCTAGTTTTTAATTGTCCTCCTTCAGGTGAAGGTTCCATACTAGGGGACGCATATTCAACAGTGGGTGCCACCTTTACTTTGCTTTGTTTAGGGTCTGGAAAGCTAAGTTTCTGAAGGATCCACTAGTGAGCCGGTCGGCTGAGCGGTGAGTATGGGAGCCGGTCGGCCGAGCGGACAGCACACTGAACTTGTGGTCCCGGGTTCGATCCCGGGCGCCGTCGAGAAACAATGGGCAGAGTTTCTTTCACCCTATGCCCCTGTTACCTAGCAGTAAAATAGGTACCTGGGTGTTAGTCAGCTGTCACGGGCTGCTTCCTGGGGGTGGAGGCCTGGTCGAGGACCGGGCCGCGGGGACACTAAAGCCCCGAAATCATCTCAAGATAACCTCAAGATAGTGTTGGCCAGTATGTAATACACTGCTGCTGTTTTACTGATGTGGGCTTCTGGCATTAGATTTGGAATTATGTCTTCTCACAGGTCCTTCTCCTTTTGTGATTCAAGAATGTGTCTTCCTTTCATCTTATGCTGCTGTGCTGGTCTTCACACTCATGTTCCAATCCTCATACCTTTGCATTTAGCTGGGTTAAATTCTAGCAGCCAGTTTTGAGACCACTTTTGGAGTGTATCCAAATCTGTTTGCAATGATATGAAGGAGCCGTAAGATGTAAGATTGTAAGGTTTTGATGCAAGATGCAGCTTGCATCACATGATACATCTTACATCAATGCAAGATGTAAGGTAGAAAAGTGACTTTTATTGTAAAAGTAGTGAGAAAATGAAGTAAAGTGAATGAGCAGGTTAAAAAAAGCCAACTCTATTCATAATTGAGAAAGTAGGTAGGAAAGAGGAGTAAGACAGGAGTCATTGCAATAGCCCAACCAAAGGCTAGAAAGGCGGAGTCAAAGAACTCGAGCACGATCCTAAAGGTACACGTACACACACACACACACACACACACACACACACACACACACACACACACACACACACACACACACACACACACACACACACACACACACACACAGAGTTTCAAAGCGTTATATGACAAAGAGTGCTGGGAAGACGGGACACCACGAGCGTAGCTCTCATCCTGTAACTGCACTTAAGTAATTACACACACACACCTATACTGTTTCTGATATATGTAAATGATCTCCCAGAGGGTATAGAACCGTTCTTCTCATTGTTTGCTGATGTAAAAATTATGAGAAGGATTAAAACAGAGGATGTAATAGTAGGATGCTACAAGATGACGTAGACAGACTGAATGAATGGTCCAACAAATGGCTACTGAAGTTCAACCCGAGTAAATGCATGGTCATGAAACTAGGTGATGGAAACAGGAGGCCAGACACAGGATACCGATTGGGAAATGAAGTACTTCATGAAACAAACAGAGAGAAAGATTTAGAAGTTGGTATCACACCAAACCTGTCTCCAGAAGCCCACGTAAAAAATCATCTGCGGCGTATTCAAGGCTGGCTAACATCAGAACTTTCTTCAGGAACTTGTGTAAGGAATCATTCAGAACCTTGTATAACACACATGTAAGACCAATCCTGGAGTATGCGGCCCCAGCATGGAGCCCGTACCTTGTCAAGCACAAGACGAAGCTGGAAAAAGTTCAGAGGTATGCCACTAGGCTAGTCCCAGAACTAAGAGGCATGAGTTACGAGGAAAAGCTGCGTGAAATGCACCTCACGTCGCTTGAAGATAGGAGAACTCGGGAAGACATGATCACTACCTACAAAATTCTAAGAGGAATCGACAGGGTAAAGATAAATTGTTTAACACTATTTACTCGAACAAAGGGACACAGGTGGAAACTGAGTACCCAAATGAGCCACAGACACATTAGAAAGAACTTTTTCATTGCAGAGTAGTTAGTAAATGGAATGCACTAGGCAGTGATGTGGTGGAGGCTGACTCCATACACAGTTTCAAATGTAGATATGATAGAGCCCAGTAGGCTCAGGAATCTGTGCACCAGTTGATTGACAGTTGAGAGGCGGGACCAAAGAGCCAGAGCTCAATCCCAGCAAGCTTAACTAGTTGAGTGCAACTAGACGAGTGCAACTAGGTGAGTACGTCTACACACACACACACACTTACCCAGAATAGAATATACAATACACTTACTCCATAATCCATAAACACCCTCCCAGCCACACTTCTACTAGGTATA